CAACTCTTTGACAGATAGAAAAATCGTCAATGCATTTCAATCAATGTTAGATAGTACAACTAATATTGAACAGATTTTAATGCTCATTGATTTTGTCGAGTCATATCAAACGAGCAAAATAGAGCCAAGCAATTTTTTTCGACAAGTAGTTTTTTTGGGTCAGACTAACGTAAGTTTGTCTGATACATTGCTTTTTACTGTCATAGTTAACGACGTTGCTCGTTTGTTCTTCAAGTCTAAAAAATCTCGAAAAGTGGTTTTAAAAACTGATGATGATAATCAGCAGATTTTAAAAACACATCGAGAAAATTCGTTTCGAAACTTTTGATTTTGGCTTTTGATTTGCTGTTGATTTTCGCTGTTGATTTTCGCTGTTGATTTTCGCTGTTGATTTTTTGTTTTTTGGGGTCCAGGGGGGTTACCCCTTGGCAAGAGGAAGGGCGCTAGCCCGTCAACCCTTTAGGGTTGTCCTATCTTGAACACACCTAAATCGGCTGAACAACTATGAAATTAGGTTGTTACGAAATGTTATAATAAAAGCATAAACAACAAAATTACAATATGCCCAACCTAATTTTTCATTGCACTACGTGCAAAAAAAGAACAAATCACGGAATTTTATATAGGTCAAAAAACGCTTACGAAAATACGCAATTTTCAATTGCTTGTATGATTTGCAGAACAATTTTAAATGATAGTGAGGCATCACTATGAGTATAAAAAATTGGACTGTAACAACAGAACGTGTCAAAAATAAAGATGCGGGATTAGCTGAATATGTAAGTTATTTATCAAGTGCTACGCACAAAAACCACAAAAATACGAAGATTTACACACTTTTCAATTCTGATGCTCATAAGTTTCTTAATAACACTATTCAAGAAACTTTGGCGTTTGACGCAAATAATAAAAAAGGCGGGAGGAAAGTCGAGTCGTTCGGTCAATCTTTCAATTTCATTTTACCACCACCGCACCAAATCAGCGCAGATCAATGGGCTGAAATTTCATATGATTTGCTTCGTGTTGCTCATTCAGAATTGAATATTAAATCAGATTTAAGCAAATTTGTTCGTGCGTGTTTTGTGAATGTGCATGAGCAATCAAACCCGCACGTCAATATCGTAATTCCAAGAATTTTTGAAAAAGAGCGATTAGCAGATTTAGACAGAAAAAATATTTTGGCAAAACTGAAACAAGAATTTAACTTATCAGTTTTGAAAAATTGCAACATTGACCACACCCATCATAATCCGAAAAGAACAAATGTTGGTGCACGCAAACGTGCTCATAAACATTTTTCGGATAAAATTATTGAAGATGTTGATAATGCCTCTAAAATTATTGTCGAAGCTTATGAAGTTTCAAAAGCAGGAATTTTAGCAGAGCAAGAACGAAAAATTAGAGAGACTGAATTGGCTCAACGTGAATTAGAATTAGCAAATCGAGAATATGAAATCAAGCAAGAAAAAGCGGATTTGACTTTAAAAAAAGCAAAGTTTGGTTTTTTACTCAAAGCCTTTATTGATCTAAAAAGCAGTTTGAAAAAATGGGTTGAGAGTGTAAAAACTGACTCTTATCTTGATAAACTTGCTTCAAGAAAAGACGTTGAAGAAAAAGCAAATCGAATTATTGATAGTGATAAATCAGACAATGATGATGTAGCTCTTGTTAATGATTTGATTGATAGTGAAGTAAAAAATCTTCAAAAAAACGGATTTGATGTGAGTAAGAGTGAGTTCTCAACAAACACTAAAATTAAGATTTGATAGAAGTGCTTTTA